TGCACTCCTCCCCTCCCAGGCATATAAATTTCCTAGGGTTGCCATAACAAGATTGAAAACTAAGTGGCTTAAATAACAGAAACTTATTCCCTAAGCTCTGGAGGCCGGAAGCCCAAAATCAGGATGTTGCCAGAGCTCTCCTCCCTCAGAAACCTCTAAGACTCTTTCTTGAGTCTTCCAACCCCTGAGAGCCCCAGGCACTCCTTGGCTTATGGCAGCATAACTTCATTCTCTGCCTCTGTCTTCACATGTCTTTCTTCCACATTTCTCTCTTCTTATAAGGAAACCAGTCATATTGGGTTAGGGCCCACCCACCTTAGCTTAGTATATCTGCAGAGATCTAAACAAGGTCACATGCTGAAGTTCTGGGTTGATATGAATTTTTAGGGGACATCACTCAAACCATCAACATCTCAATAAGCCCAGTTACCTTCTATTTATAGGAAAAGAGACCTATAAAATTGTGTTATACTCATTCTGTAGGAAGGTGAAGGTTTCAGAATGGTACTGTGCAATTTGGTACCCCATCCAGCACTATGGCCATTTATTTCTTTTATACTTAGAGTTGAGATTAAAGAACAGAAATCAGGAGTGACTCATTTCAGTCATTTGAGAGTATTTTCTCTAAAAACTTTCTCCAAATATTAGAAAAAAATGAATGATTTGAAGAGAAATATGGACCTGATAAAATATTATTAAAGTGGAAACATTAAGAAATAATGTTCTTTGCTGGATAAATGCCCTTTACATGTAAAAGAAAAAATAACCTGTAAACATTTCTTCAGGTCTTTCATTTTACCCATTCTAATTCCCCTCACTAGATGACTTATACAACTTTCCTATAAAGCCAGCTTCATGAACTCTCTCATGACACAGTGTTGTCTTCCACATCATTCTTTCTTCACTCACCTCCTCTCTCTCCTTTATTTCCAGGAGGAAGGTGTATCCCTTTTCCTGACAGAGGCTGATTTCTCTACCTGGGTCTTTTTACCCATCTTTCATTTCTTCTCACCTCACTACTATTTCCCCGTTACCTTTACTGGCCCTTGTTACTCGTACTGTGTATTAAAATGAAGGTATTTCCCAAGGTTCTTGCCTCAAAACCTTCTATTTAATTCGATGATTTTGCAAACTCTCACATATTCAATTTATACGTTTATATCTTTATAGATACCTATATAGTGACTACCTACTATGTAGTATATAGTGCTAGGTGCTTTTTCTGTCCTTTAAAAAACACTATCTTCTTTAACCCTCAAATAAAGTCTGTGAATTGGATACTATTCAGAGAACAAAACAGGTTTAGAAATATTCAGCCAATTTTGAGAAATCACATAGTAAGTCATGGTACTGAGAAAGCAAAGGTCCTCTGCAGGGAATCCATCAACATCTCAATAAGCCCAGTTACCTTCTATTTTTTGTTGAAAACACATCACTCCCTATTTTGTTAATTTCAGGGCTCAGGTTCTAAACATTAGGATTATCCTCCCACTTCCTGTTTTTATAGGACTCTTCACACAATCAAGTAATTACTTGCCAAATTCGTCATAACGTCTTGAGTCCTGTTTCATGCTGCCACACTAGTTCAAGTTTCGATCTCTAGCCTTGTCTATTCCAAAAGTATTCTTGCTGCTTTGCATCCTGCACTGTACACTCCTACATGGTGATTAGCCATCCTGAAGCACAGTTAAAGGGTGTCATTCACTTTCTCATAGTTATTCAGGTTTTC